ACAAAAAAGAACTATTTTAATTTTCATACTTTTTGTTTAAGGTGATATTTGGTAATCTGAATTATTATTATAGGGAACCGCATCCGCAGCCGCCGAAGCCACGTCCAGCAATAGAAGGACCGTAGCCGATACCGGCAGCGATGCCAGGTCCGTACGCCAGACCACCGGCAGTTGGATATCCCCAAGCAGAAGCGGCGATGTCTTCGCTCACTATGCCCACGGCACCGTTGCCGCAGCCGTAAGAGACGGCACCAGCACCAGCAGTTGGAAGCACACCCTCCAGACCAACGGTGCCTAGGAAAGGCAGCTCACCAACTGCAGTCAGGATTCCTCCGATCTCGTTCTCAGAGAGAACAGATACTCCAACAGGCGGGATGGGAGACGCGCTGGCGACAGGGAAACCACCGCCGCTAGCTGTTGGAATGGCAGCTAGACCACAACCAGCACCGTAATCAGCACCGTAACCAACACCGTAACCAGCCCAGCCTAGTCCACCGCAAGAGCCAGCATTAATTGGACCTTCGTAGCTCAGTCCGTTGCCCAAGCAGTAGGCAGCGATGCTCTGAGGATATGAAAATATATTTTTGACAAATTTTATTACTTAAGTTGTTTTAATAAAATAAGGGTGACAAAAGAGAAATCTACATTTATTCTCGATTAAGAATCAAAACAGAAATGCGTTGTCACCCCTTACGACTAAGGAGGAATGCCTCGTTTCCAGTAAAAAGGGTTTCCGGATCTCTCCACTCACAATTTAAACCCAGCATTATTAAGCTGTTATTTTACGCTGGTATTCTGTGAGAGTGTGGCCCTTCCCCAGTCGAGCAGACTCGTTCGTGCTATAATACTACAATACTGTACTAATATAGCTGCAGCGTTGCGATACCACGTATGAAAACTACGTCTTTACGTATCTTATCTAGCACTATAAATAGCTGATTGTCTCTCGTAGGCGTACTATGCGAGTCTTAAAATTTAATTTGTAAATAGCTTTAAAAATGTTTTAGGTGATCGTGTACCTTCTCAAAATATATAAAGAAATCTGTATAAAAAGAGCCGTGGTAGCTCAGTGGTTAACGCTCGCTGTAAATATAACAGAACGCGAGTAACCCGGGTTCGATCCCCGCCGGCACCAATGAAATTGTTAATTGCAATTTTAAGTGCTGATTTACCACGTGCTCGGCGGTGAAGGAAAACATCGTGAGGAAACCTGCATGTCTGAGGAATAAGAAAAAAAATATTTCGAAGACATGTGAAGTTCGTCAACACGCATTTGGGCAGCGCGGCGGACACTTCCTTGCCCTAAACCCTCTCAGAAATGAGGGGAGGCCTGAGCCCAGCAGTGGGACGTATATAAGCTGTAACTTTACTTTACTTTTTATAAAAAAGAGCATGCCATGCCTAAAAATGGACTTCACATACTTAATGTTTTTATCGCCAAGCACGTTAACAGTCACTTCCATATTACGATAATGCGATAATCCTACCTCAATAGCACGGCTTAATTTTTTTTGTTAACAGTCCAGGAAAATTTTTTGAAATAAAAACAGACTCTCGTGTTTTGAGCGTAAATTAAAACTTCGACTTTAAGAATATTGATACAGTTAAGATTTAAATCAATATTACTTACCTGAACCATGAATGCTTGAGCGCACAACAAAATAATAGCCTTGGCAGACATATTTGCTTTGTTTATTGAAAACAAGTGTAAGTATAATTAGGGTCGATTGGTTTTTATAGTCCCTGGCGATGTTGATGCTGTCGGGCTATATTGAAATATTAGTGAAGCAACCCTACGCAATTCAAGTTTCCTTAGATATGTACGTGACAAAAAAAGAAAACAAAATGATCCCAAAATAATAACTAAAAATTAAATGATTAAAATACAATGCTCCAAACCATCTTCTTGCAAACAAAGTGGTTGAACCAAACAGTATCTCACGTTTTTTTCTTTATTATGAAATTTTTCGAAGTTTGCCATAAAATTGACGATATATAAGGCATAAAGCAAATCGGTGAATCATTCTAGACCTCACACAGTCGAAATACAATTCTCAGACATGTCTCCCTTTGCTTTCTTGTTGCTCTGCGTTCAAGCTTGCTTGATTCAGGTACTTTTTTAAATTTTTACCGGTTACCTAAATATAAGAAAATTTGGAATTGTAATTTTTTGTTCTGTTCGTTGTTTTTAATAATTCCTTAGTTGCTTTAATCAGTATTTTAAGAACTTGTTTCCATTGCCAGAATGTGTACAGCCTTTGTCTCGGGGATGGACTTGGCTTGGGCTACGCTCCAGGATATGCAGCTGAATACGGCCTAGGTTGCGGATCCGCCTTAGGCAATGAATTTGCTTACGGCCCTGGACTTGGTCTCGGATACGGTCTCGCTGGTCCCGCAGGTTTGGCCACCTCATCTTACTTGGCTGGTCCAGCCTATGGAGGTTCAGGCATTGGTGATGTAGCTATCGCTGGCGAAATGGGCGTAGCTGGTGCTACCTTATTAGCCGGTCAAGTGCCCATTCTAGGCGCTGTCAGATTCTGTGGTGAGGTTCCAGCTGGTGGTGTTGTTTCTATCGCTGGAAGCTGCGAAGGTAGCTGCGGAGGTAGCTACGGAGGTATCTGCGGTTGCGGTTGCAATGGTCCTTACTTGTACTAAAACAGAATATCAAAATGTAATAACCTCAAAATATTAAAGTGATAAGTTGGCAACTTCAAAGCAAATTGTTTTTTTTTTTCATTTTTAAACAAATATTGCAGCGCCTTGATTAAAATTAGACGAAAGGTGGAAGAAATGCTACGGGGTATGATGACCTTATTCAACAAATGCAAAATAAGTAGAAAAAGTTTTTTTTACAAGAAACGTTACCTCCACAGTAGGATTTTTTCTTGTATATAAACGTAAATTGCACAAGAATAAACATCTAGATCCGGAACAATTTTTATAAGCCATACAAATACTTTGTAGTGTAGTGCTCCCACGTTAATATACTTTAGTGTTAAGGTAGAATAATGAGACAGTCTAATTAAAGTTTTAGTACCAACCACACGTCTCCTTCATTGACATCGTTCCTATATTACATGGCGACCCTGCCAAGCGGTGCGCTGCAACGATGCATGCGCACCGCCTGGTCAAGTTGAAAGGTGGAAAAAAAACTTAATTAAATAATGCAGACAAAAAAATAATATAACAGAAGGGTTGCAATACCGGATTTGACGATAATAAACGGCCGCCGTGACTGAAATTCGGTCTGGAGGACATTACATACATTACGTCAAGGCACTCGGACCACACTTAGCCCAAAAAAAAAGATATAAATGGAAAATTGTGAAACAAGTGATAGGTGGAAAGCCCATTAGCCCTAGATATTTGTTCCAGAATTGAAAAGGGAAAGAAGTAGTTGTATCCTAGCGAGCATCACCCAGAAGGATGTGAAAATTGAGCCGAAAAGAATAAAGAAGAATAAAGAAGAGAGGTAAATACGCACCTGTGTGATTTTTAATTCCATTTAAAACTTTAATAATTTGAGATTTTTCAATGTTGTTTTTGCTTTTTAAAAAAATTGTGCATTAAATTTTCTGTATTTAAAATATGATTAAATTGATCGTATTTATCAGATAATTCACGATTTAATTTTTTTAAATATTTAAATTACTGAAAAAATAAGCACAATGCAATAATTATAAATTAATCAATAATCTAGCACTTGATTTTATATTCAATTTTATTCAGTTATAGTTTTATATTATTTTTATTACTGTGTCCTGCAGAACATGAATGAAATAATATGAAGATTACATTTTTACGTATTTGCATTTACAATTGTTTATCATTAATTAATTTTTCATATTTTGTAGTTAACATATCACTGATGATACATTTCGTGTGTTTTTTTTTATGTAGTAAATTTTATTTAAATGTACACAATTTTGAAAACAGTTATAACCGATTTGCTATTATTGTTTTCTTTTTTTTCTATTCTAAATGCATTAAATCATTAATTTATATAATAACCTACCTTAAAAATTGTTTTATAATGTTTAAATAAATTAATCTATCGTTGTGTGAAGTTTATAGCTGTTATAGTGATTTTTTTAAAAAGCATTTTTTATAGCAAAAGTATTTAAAAAAAAAGCTAATGAATTTTATGATGTATGTAAAAGTAACATAAATATTAACAACGTAACTATTTCTAAGTGTAAATTAAGGAAATGTTTAAAACTATCCTTTTAACGAACATTTTACTTGCATTCATATTATAAAATATTGTAAAAGTTGTCTTGGAATTAGGCGTGAATCACACCGTGTCATCCTAGCCCGATGCAATTACAAACGATGCCTTATACGTACTTTGGAATTTAAAACATACTTGTCTCCAATTATTTGCGGTGTTGCTATATTAATTATAATGATTACGTTGCCTTCTTTGTTCTGTTTATCTTAATGTGAAATTAAATAATTTATTTTCAGTTTTATATTGTTTGAATATTTAAATCATAAGCTTTTAAATGTTATAATTTATTATTTTCTTGGAAAACTGTACTAATTTGAGTACATTAAGTATTTTCTTCGCATAATACGATTTTGAAACTCACTATATAATGTTTAACACAACTATAATATTTGATTTAAATTTTCTTGTTCCCATATTGTGAACCTCAATCCCTGACTGACACTGTGCGACTTCGCGCATATCCGACCAATCTCTGCATCGTCAGATTAGAGAAATATTCTGTTATAGAAACCTTAGTATTATAATCTAACTACACATCGTAGCTTATCCGTACGAGCACTTCAATATACTGAATATCAATTTAAAATTACTAAACCATTCCAATAACATCACACTACGCGATTCATAGTGTACACTAACATATTCGTAGTAAAGAAAATGTATCAGGCTTTTATATGATCGGGAGCATCAGGGACCGAAAAACATTTTTGATAACTTTTTATTACTTCTATAATGATATTTGCACAGTGTTAATTGTCATTGTCCCATTTCAGTACAGGTAAGCACCGTTGCAACCACACCCACAGTTTCCGCCGCAGCTTCCGGTGATAGAAACAATACCACCAGCTGGAACTTCACCACCGAATCTAACAGCACCCAGAATTGGCACCTGACCGAGTAGTAGGGTGCTACCAGCTACACCCATCTCGCCAGTGACTGCCACGTCACCAACTCCACTGCCTCCATAGGCTGGACCGGCAATACCAGCAGGAGTAGCCAGGCCTGCAGGGCCAGCGAGACCGTACCCAAGACCAAATCCAGGCCCGTAAGCTACCTCAGGACATCCCAAACCGTACTCAGCGTTGAATCCTGGAGCATAGCCTAAGCCTAATCCAGCTCCGAGACACTGACTGTATACGTTCTGCAATTGGAGAAAAATCTTTATAAATAAAAGTGTAAAATAACTGACATTTTTAACTAACATCAAGAAGAAAAAGGTTATTTGAATCATTTTGATAATTATCGATTCATGGAATGTAGTGTAAATATGGTTTAATATAAATTTACATCATGTAGGTTAAAAGATAAAAGACAGATTAAAAGTTGTTTTCTTTTATTAATGTAAGTCATATAAAAGAAACATCAATTTATAAGTATTACAAATGTCGTTTTGATAAATTTTGGTAATAACTAACAATAATTCAAGGAAAGATGCTAGATAATTTTACCTTGATCAAGCACGCTTGAACGCAAAGCATGAAGAAAGTAAAAGAAGACATGTTTAGTGCTTTTCGACTGTACGAATTCTAAAGTGATTTATAAAATCAAAACCAATGCGTTATATACTCTTTACTCTCTGGTCGATTTGAAATTATTTTGTAACAAATAGACGTGAACGTGTTGCGCAATGAAATAAATCGATGAGACATTGAACTGTTTCACCCAACTGCCCCAGAAAGAGGGTAACGTTTAACTAGTGTATTTATGTATTTCTTTATAATCGTGGAATTGATAGTGTTAGGTTTCTCCCTTTTTAGTGGACATTTTACGTAATCACCTTTTATTATTACTCTTATAATACTTGGACTTATTCGGTATGAGGTAAATGCATTCATCATCCGTTCCTTTGCAGTATTTAAGGTCTGTTACTCAACTTAGGCCACCCCGTTGATTGCCTCATAGGCAGAATTTTGTCATAGTAAAACTGTATGTGTAGTGGCAGGCGGGATGATAGCCGCAAATTTTAATGTTTTTAGCTTTTACCAAGAAGATGCTGCTCCCCATCTTCCATCTTCCCCATGCCACCTCTTACGACATGCATGAGACGATATGTGATAGTGAATATTCTTACACCGTCACTTCACGGTATGATGGTTCATTAAAAGCAACTTAATGATTATTCAAAAAAATGCAAAATAATAAAATAAATTCACTAACTCCACAACTTAAGGAATTATTAAATTTGTCGCAGGGATATACAAAAATAAACACTCATAACTATTTATAATAGCTAAAGAAATTAGAAAACCGGAGACCCCTTTCACTGGTAACGAGGCCTTCTATCTTCATCCTGACAAGGGTGACAAGGCCTAGTAGATATACAAATTTTTTTCCTATTCGAATATGAAGAAAGAGCGCAGAAAGCTAAAATTTATATTATATAATATGTGCTACAATTACTGGTTGAGCTACTGGTAACCACAAAATGGTGGTGCGACTAGGTTGCCCCTTCGAATCCTTAGCGAAGGAACCACAAAATGTTTGGACCACAGGGTCCCGGGTTCGATTCCGGAAATAATGACCCCGAAAATTTTGATGTGCGAATGACGAAAGTGGACTATATTACTAAATCACTGTGGGTTTTGGACAATACACTTGCGATAATTTAATTCACTATATTAGCCGGTATTAGCCGATGGAAAAAATGAGCTGCCAGGGAAAGATCAACAAAAGAACCAAAAAAACAGCTCAAGATCTAAAGCAAAAGGTAATTCCCGGGGTCTGTCTGCAGGCAGTCTCTTACTCAGGCCTCGAGGTTGGTGGAACTTCGTTGCAACTGGGCGAGCGATGCGCTGCGATAAATGCACTGGGGTTGACTGAACGTCACGACGAGTTGTTTGCACTAGTGCTCGATGAATTGCACTGTGCAAGCGGTCATCACGAAATGTTCGTATTGTTGACTGTGACTAGACTGCCACAGGATGGTATCACAGCCAATATCGCGCTCCAACTGATCGAACGGCGTCGGCACACGTCGATAACTACGGTCTGCGCCGGCAGCAAGTTTCCGGCCTTTTACCTCTTGAGGCCACTAATCTAGCCCCCCCCCCTCTCCATTGGGCATACCCGTGCGGGAGGGGAAAGGAATTAAGGAGAGAGACTGTACCGGCCAATGTACTAACAAACAAAATACGAGGGTTTACGTTTTTGGCACAACCAACTACATAATAAAATAAAATTAAACATACATTGTTCACGTTTAGACTGACAACGTAATAATCAAACAATTATGGTTAAAGATTTTCGGTTAATAATTTTAAAATGTTGCCAATAAAATAATTATTGACACATTGAACGCATGAGCTGTGAATTTTGAGTGATTTCTAATGTTATTCATGTTAATATGGTCTGTGAAGTGTATGTCAAGCCAAAAAGCTTAAAAAAAGCGTTTATTTTATTTTATAAAAAAAAACTGTTAATGAACAGTTGACAGCATAGGTAATATGTAGATAGGTACTGGAGGAGTGTGAAATTTGTCATAGTTAAAGTTTATGTGGAGAAGGAGTTTATACGTACAGCCACGCTGCAGCTATTACGGCTGTAGCATGAATAGGTCGGCTCGACCGGGGAAGGATCACGTTCTCACAGAATACCAGCGTAAAATAGCAGCTTGATGCTGCTGTGCTTCGTATGGTGAGTGTAGAGAACTAGAAACCCGTTTTACTGGAATCGAGGCATTCCATCTTAGTCCTCATGGGTAACAACGCATCTGCATTTTGATTCTTAATCTAGGTTAAATGTAGATGTCTATGGGCCACAGCATCCACTCACCATCAGGTGGACTGTGTGCTCGTGAGACTTACCACCGTGACGTAAATTCGTTCTAAAAGACAATATTATTACTGCTAATGTCAGACACATAATTGTGACACAGTGTGGAATTGCGTGAGATTGTTTCAAAAACATTTCGAATTACGTCAGCATACATATGTCCTAGCGCTATATAAGTTAATTGACCTAAATTATATTTACACTTGTTTTAAATAAACACAACAACTATGTCTGTCAAAACTTTCTTCCTTTTCTGCGCCCAAGCACTCATGGTTCAGGTAAGAAATAATATAGAAAAGTACTAAATGTCTTAATACGAATTAATTTCCCATGGTCGAAATTAAAAGACATGAACAACATGTGAAATATTATTTTTACATTTCTATAAAAGTGTTAAGTGTTGTTGTTTGAAATAATGTTAAAAATTAATTAATTAATTAATTAATTAAAAATTTTAATACTCAGACCATCACTGCCTACTGCCTGGGCAACGGACTGGCCTACGAAGGTTCCTTGATTGATGGTGCTCCCTGCGGCGCCCCTTGTGGAGGCTTAGGTTGGGCTAGTTACGGTGCCGGTGGTTACGGTGCTAGTGGTTATGGTGCCGGTTGCGGTCTAGCTGCAATTCCAACTGCTAGCGGCGGTGGTTTCCCTGTCGCCAGCGCGTCTCCCATCCCGCCTGTTGGAGTATCTGTTCTCTCAGAGAACGAGATCGGAGGAATCCTGACTGCAGTTGGTGAGCTGCCTTTCCTAGGCACCGTTGGTCTGGAGGGTGTGCTTCCAACTGCTGGTGCTGGTGCCGTCTCTTACGGCTGCGGAAACGGTGCCGTGGGTATCATTAGCGAAGACATCACCGCGTCCGGTTGGTCTTATCCGGCTGCCACTGGGTTGGGTTACGGACCTGGCCTTGCTGCAGGCTTCGGTTACGGTCCCGGTATCGCTGGCCGCGCCTTCGGTGGTTGCGGATGCGATGTCCTCTAATATTAGTAAAATAACCATTTTAACTGGCAATCTTCCTGTTAATATAAACGTTTTAATATAAGATTTACTTTTTATTATTTTCCTTAAAACAATTGATACCAAAAAGTTATATGTGTATATAGGTACTATGTCATTCGTGGAATAAAATAATATTACATATGAGTTTTAAAAAGAAAGCCAGTATGACTTAAGTTTAAACTAAGGCATAAGTAAATTCTGATTGCAAAAAAATTCATCTATAGTTCCAGCTTTTCCATGTATTCAAACTTAAACCTAAGTCAAAATAAAATCAATGATGTCATATTCTAATTCAAAACTAAAAAGGTAAAGACCGATTTTATTATAAAATAACATTATGATTATTATGAAATTAAAAGAAAGAAAAATAATATTTATTATGAAATAATATTATGAAAGAACATGCTTTGGTTTTAATTATACACAGAAAGCTGAACACGGCAGACGCTGTCCTGCCAGTTAATATCATACGAGTAAGTTGTGTTCAGCAATTTTTTTTTTATTTTAGCAATTTTTTTTTTAAGTTTTGCAATTTAAATTATTAACTACCGCGCTTGATTTGCGAAAAGTAAATAAAATCAAAATTTATATATTTTGTTTGTTTTAAAAAAATCTACATTTTTTCATTTATTAATGTAATCCTTCTCCATTATAAATACATACATATATATACCAATTTTCATGGTGATCGCTCAAATAGATTTTGATTTAAACGATTTCATATATATAAATATCCTCTTTTATACGTAATATATAGAAAATATTAAATTAAAATTTTAATAACTCCCTGAACAAAAAAGCTGATGATCTTCAACCGGCGTAACAGATTTTCTTGAAACATAGCTAAGAACACTCTCGAATAGACCTTTCAAACGAAAAAAATTATCAATATCGATTCATCCGTTTAAGAGATATGATGCCACAGAAAAACACAGATACTCACTTTAAATTCTATTTTCGTCGGGGGTTAAAAATATGCAAAATTAAGATAATAATCAAATGTGATGCAAATCTGAATAAATCTGCCACCAAAAGCAACACCTATTGACTAGTATGATGCATATGGCTGCCCCTCTTCAACCACTTTAAGAGAAGTGGACGACTTATCATACGAAAACACCGTGAGCAAAGAATTGTAAGATAATGTGATACTTCGATTAGGGCACTGGCAACATCGGAAGCAGCTGAACTGAGTAAATGGCGCAAGTATAAGTTTTAAACTTTTAATTCAAAATCACCACACATTTTGAGAAGAAGTTTATCATTAATAAAGGTCAGCTCTTTTTTTAATTGATAGGTACTGTTGCTCAAGAATGATGATTGAAAATCATTGTGCTATCGTTTGGCTTACATTCTTCAATTGCACATTTTAGTTCCTGAAGTTAAACAAAAATACTAATATTACTACCAAAATGTGCATAAGAACGGAAAAAGTTAAAAATAAGGAATTTTTAAAGAACTTTTTCCGTTCTTATCTCATCACTTGGGATTTTCTGACATTGCCTAAAGATAAACCATAAACTAGTAAGCACACAAGCTTTGTTATTTATATGTAATCATGCATAATTAAATAACTATTATAAAATAAATTTATGTACTGAAATTAGCTAAATTCTCAAAATTTTTTCGTATTCCTTTATTTGCTAAAAATAGCTTGGTTTTATTTCCCATAACGTCTGAATCATAATTTTTTGTCACTCTTAAATAAATAGCCATCAAAATAATAACAAAATATTTTACTTACTAAAGGACAAACTGCATACTGCATGCATGGAAAACTTCATGCAGAACGCCGAGCGACTTGACCTCTTTATGGAAAGCCCAGCGGCTGTCTAATTTGAATTGAAAATTAATCCAAACGCGCAATTTTATAGTAAAATAGTTATAATAAATAGAAAAGTAATTATTTAAGTCCGCCCTTTGTATTATTTTTTATCGGGGACGCAATAAAGTTTTTAAAATAAAAATAAAATAAAATAATGTAGACTGTAATATAATAAAAGTATTTACAAAAATATTACTAAATTTGGTTTTGTAATCGATGTCCAGATTTCTTTGTTTAAATACGTATAAGATAATAATAATAAGCAGTATTTATAGTAATATATTATGTTGCTTCTTATTTTGAGAATTCTGTGTTGAAGCACACAAGTAAGAAGTAACATACTCGTAATTGTGATAAATCGTACTACCTTTATCATGATGTGTAAGCATGTAACATTATATCATTCGGTAACAAGTTCAAGGTTTATTAATCGAAGCACGTAATTAGTCGTATTATGCCATTCGTTGATTTTATATCGACGAAGAAAAAGTTATTTAGGTTTGTTGGACAGACATATTTACATTACATTATTTAAAAAAGTAGTTTCCTGTATTACTTAATTAATATCTATATTAAAAGTTACATCCTATATACGTCCCACTGATGGGCACAGACCTTCCCTCATTTCTAAGAGGGTTTATTTATCATTCATTCACAACCTCATTTCTGAGATTAGGGCAAGGAAGCATCCGCCACGCTGCTCCAATGCGTGTTGGCGAACTTCACATGTCTTCGATTTTTTTTCTTATTTCTCAGATATGCAGGTTTCCTCACGACGTTTTCCTTCACCGCCGGGCAGGTGGTAAATCAACGCTTGAAATTGCAATTAACAATTTCATTGGTGTCGGCGGGATAGAACCCGGTTTGCTCGCGTTCTGTGAAATTTACAGCGAGCGCTAACCATTTGAGCTACCACGGCGTTTTTTAAACATAACATATTCTAATATAATATTTCAATTTGTAATGTTTTAATGCGGCATGGTATATTGTCGACCATTGTTATCCAGTCGACGTCGTAAAAGACGATGTAAAGAAATTAAAACAGGATGGGGTATCAGCATATTCCTTGTTTACTATATTACTATTCAATAATAATAAAAGACCTGCGGTTGTCCACCCGCCTGCCAAGCGTAGCAACTATGGCAAATATGAGGCAATCTACGAGGAGGACTATGTTCATAAAATATTTTTTCAGCAGGTGGAACTATAACATCAACTAATGAGACGCCTTCGGATATCAAAGTCAACTTTTAATTTCTAACTTTTCATTATTTCCAGCGACAGCCGACGACAAATTCTCACTAATAATGTTGCCTTGTTTAAATATTTTACGTACGATAAAATTTTTGCCGGTTCAAAAAACAAGATCTATTCTAATTACTTGTTAATTCGAGGAGAAAATAAAACTCCTTGATGCCGATATTATCGCCGTGTACTTCGCAATTGACAAGAATGAATTAAAAAATAGGCGGTGGTTACAACTTTAGAAAACAAAAAAAGAACTAAGTAAAACGTATGTAACGCAACTTCGTGCGTAACAAAAAACAACAGGCGTTTGCGTAGACATGCCCCCCGACGTTGAAAGCTTGTCTTTCAACAAAATTAGCATTCCTTGTTGTTAGGTAAAGGGCAGATTTTGCAGAAAGGTCTTCGGACGATTCCGGTGGCAGTTCTGATATCGGCAACGCGGTTGATGCCGTCGGCTCCGGGATGAAAGGCTGTAATTCGACCCAGTCGCCATTTGAGCGGCGGTAAATTGTCTTCCTTCAGGACTACAAGATCACCCGTCCCTAAAGTGTCAGCATTGGAACGCCATTTTGATCTCTGCTGGAGTTCTGAGATATATTCCTTGCTCCATCTTCTCCAAAAATGTTGACGAAGTTGTTGGATGCGTTGGTATCGACTCAGTCTACTTCTAGGGACTTCTTCATAATTTTGAGAAGGAAGAGAGGTGATGGGGCGGCCGATGAGGAAATGTACCGGGGTTAATGGCAGTAAGTCATCAGGATCCGTGGAGAGAGGTGTCAGCGGACGAGAGTTCAGTACACCTTCAATTTGAACCAGCACAGTGTTTAATTCCTCGTATGTAAGGTTACAATTACCTAAAACTCTCCGTAAATGATATTTTATTGACTTAACGCCTGCTTCCCAAAGACCGCCAAAGTGAGGGGCTCGCGGAGGAATGAAATGGAAATTTATATTTTCCTGAGCCAAATTCTCGGACAGTGAATTGCAATTGTCTTTTATAAAACGACCGATTTCGTTGTATGCGCCTACGAATGAGGTTCCGTTGTCGGAGTATATGTGTTTAGGTTTTCCGCGACGTGAAATGAATCGATGAAGTGCTGATAAGTAATTATTACTTGTTAGATCACCCCGATAGCCTTTGTCGCAAAACAAACGAAGATGAGAATATACACTTTCGTAAGCTTGCAACCACGGCCTTGACGATAATACTAATAGGTCCAGCATAATCGACGCCAACGCTCTCGAAGGGAAAACCGCCGGGAGTCACTCGACCCTGAGGCATCCATAAGTGGATTTATAACCCTTCCCTTATAACGGCAACATAAGTAACATTGTCGATAACAATATTTAGCTAACTTGAGGCCTCCGATGGGCCAATACATTTCTCTAATTAAAACTGATAGTAGACGAGGACCGGCGTGTAAAAGCTTAACATGCATATACTTAAACAATAATTTGGTAAAACGATTAGTGGACTGTAACATGATCGGATGTTTCTTTTCATAAGTAAATAATGCATTTCCTAAACGATCACCGACACGCATTATTTTATTTTCGTCTAGGAAAGGATTAAATTTCAAAATAGTACATTTTGAAGGCAATTTTTTGTTATTATATAAGGTCATATATTCCTCGAATGACTCAATTTGTGACGATCTAATCAAAGTATTTAAAGAATTATGTAGTTCGTCGTTACTTAAAAATTTACTTTGTACCGGTTTCCTTTTACAAATATTAATAAATCTTAACACGTAGGCCATAGAACGTTGTAATCTTATAAAATTAGAGAATCTCTCAAAGTCAATTAAAGGTTTTTTTCTGATTGGTAACAACTAAAGAAATCTCTGAGCAAGTTTCTGGTAGCTTATCACTTACAATAGGGTTAGCAGGCCATCTAGACATGTCACCC